AAAAGGTCATCAGCAGTCTCTGGTGTGATCCACAAAGAGTACAAGAGTCATCAGGTATCTGCAAGCCTCTTCTTTCTAGGTTGGTTCTGGACAGGCATTTATTTAAAGCCATAGTCCAGACAAGGAAGTTCACTTTTGAGGGACTAATTGAAGTCCCAATCTGCTTAGATGGAAAATCCCCCACTGCAACCCTACTACTGAGTCTACTGGCCATTGATTTTACTAAAAAGCTACCCTCTTTAGACTACTTCCAAGTCCACTAGTCATCCTGACTAGAGTCAACACTCTGAACCTGTAAAATTTCAAACAATCTCATAACTTCTTCCACTAAAGACTTCTTCTAAACTGTGGAGCCCATGTCACCTCATTTCCCGAGAAATTGTCAGAATCAGCAATCGAAGCATTCTGATTGGTGGCACACTGATAAAGAGTAGGAAAATCTTCAGCCAAAGGGTGGTCCAAGCACCAAGAATCCTTCCATAATCTGATTCTGTCTCCTCTGCCTACTTTGAAGCTTACACCCTCTCTAAATAAGGGAAGATATCTCATTATGCCTTTCCATAAAGAGCAGCCCCAATTTGGAAGTGGATCCCTCGCCCTCCAGTTTCCCCATTCTACCCCAAACTTGGCAGCTATCAGGCTTCTCCACCAAGCACCCCTTTCTATGGCAAACCTCCAGATCCACTTACTAAGAAGAACCGAATTTGTCACCTTAATCTTCCATAAACCCAGTCCCCTTTCTTCCATAGGAAGGCATACTTGATCCCATTTGACAAGATGAATCTTCTTTTCTTCCCCCCAACCCCTCCACAAGAAAATTTTTTGGAGAGTCTCCAATCTCTTTGCCGCTTTTGTTGGAATGAACCCAGTCTAGAGGAAAGAGATAGGGAACAAAGATGGAATTTAAGAAAGCAGTTGGTGGATATCTTGTTCAAAGAGGAGATTAGTTGGAAGCAATAATCGAGGTGTAAGCAAGGTTCAAAGTATCAACACAAGTCGGTACACCGGTAGGGCGTATCAGCCTGTATCGGTGCTTTTTATATGTTTTTTATTTATTTTTTCCAAAACCAATTCAGAGGGGTCGGTTTAAGTCCCGGCTACCCTCTGAACAATGGTCTATCGATACAACCCCTGGAGGTGCATATTGAAAAGCCATCAGCACGATCGTATCGGCCAATATGGGCCGATATGTGTCGATACTTTGAACCTTGGGTGTAAGTGGATCAAGGAGGGTGATAGGAACACAAAATTTTTTCACGGCCTAGCAAATGGGAGAAGAAGTAAAAATTTCATTTCCAAGCTAGATGTGGAGGGTGCTACCTTAGTTCATCAAAATGAAATAGCAAAGGCTTTTGCAAAATCATTTCAGATCAATTTTCAGGAAGCCTCTGAATGCGAGAGTGTGGGTTGAAGGTTTGGAGTGGCCTAGGCTGAATTCTAAGATGAGAGTTTAGTTAGAAGGAAAGTTTGAGTTGGAAGAAATCCAAGAGGCAATTTTCTCTATGGATCGCTCCAAAGCTCTGGGTCTAGATGGATTCACATTGGCCTTTTATCAGGATTGTTGGGATATACTGAAGGAGGACATCTTGGGAGCCTTTGGGGAATTCTATAGAAGGGGAATAATTAATCCTGGCTTGAACTCCACCTTTGTGGCCTTAATTCCCAAGAAAAAAGAAGCCATTCACCCAAGAGATTTCAGACTTATCAACTTGGTGAATAGTCTTTATAAGATCATAGCAAAGGTGATGGCCTGTAGAATCAGGAAAGTCCTCTCCAATATTATAAAACCTAACCAAGGAGCTTTTGTCGAGGGAAGGCAGATTATTGATCAAATTATGATAGCAAATGAAAGTGTGGAGGATTTCAAAAGATCTGGGAAGAGGGGTGTGGTATGTAAATTGGATTTGGAAGAGGCATATGATTCAATGGATTGGTCATTTTTGCTCCAGGTAATGTTGAACTTTGGTTTTGGAGAGAGATGGTGTAAGTGGGTGATGGGGTGTGTTAGGTCTTGTCACTACTCCATTTTGGTGAATGAGACGGTGGTGGATTTCTTCCCAGCTCTAAGAGGAATAAGGCAAGGAGGTCCCCTATCTCCGTTTTTGTTTAGTTTGATAGCAGATGTCTTGGGAAGATTGATCACTAGAATAGACTCTAGGAACCTAATAAAAGGGTGGAGAGTTGGTAAGGATGGGGTACCCCTAACTCATCTGCAATTCGCGGATGATATAGTCCTCTTTTGTGAAGTTGGTGTTTGTAGATTGTTTAGGAATTTGAAATTTAGCATACAACTGTTTGAGCAAATGTCTAATCTAAAAGTGAACATTGACAAAAGTTGTATAGTAGGGGTGAATCTTGAGGAGAGAGAGGTGGAAGAGTGTGCAAACATTTTAGAGTGTGTGGTATCCAATTGGCTAGTGATGTACCTGGGGTTGCCTCTTGAGGATAATCCAATGAGACAAAACTTTTGGGATTCGATGGTAGAGAAATTACCTATCCTTAAGGGGGAGAGCCACATTGATAAAATCTACCCTTGCCGACCTTCCGATATATTTAAAGTCAGTTTTTAAAATGCCAAGGAGGATTTCCAGAAGACTGGAAAAATTAATGAGGGATTTTCTATGGGACCCAGGTGAGGAGAAAAAAGATCATAGGGTTAGGTAGGATCTAGTGAGCAGAAGCAAAGAGTGTAGAGACCTAGGGTTAGGGAATATTCAGAAGAGGAATGTGGCCTTGTTGGGTAAGTGGTTATGGTGGTTTTCCCCTAGAGAAAGAGAGGTTGTGGGTAAAGATCATGGAAAGTATTCATGGGCTCGCAAGCAATGGATGGGATGCAGGAATTTCGGCTAGGACTACAAGAGCTTCTCCATGGAAAGCTATCCAAGCTTCTTTACCTCTCTTCATTCCATGGACAACGTATGATTTGCACTCCAGTAACCTTATTAAATTTTGGGAAGAAGTTTGGATCAGGGATTCTCCATTGAAGGGTCAGTTCCCTTCTCTGTTTGCCTTGTCTAATTTGAAAAATAAGCCTATATCAAGTATCTTGGTGCCCTCACAAGCTTCCTCAGGGTTTGGGTGGAACTTGGGTTTTAGAAGAGCAGTTAGGGAGTCAGACTGAATAGTACTTTGTGTCTTCTTAATATACTAGAAGGTATTTTCTTAGATCCCTCTAAATCAGATACAAGGGTCTAGACTTTATTAGCCTCTGGAACTTTTTTTTGTGCTTCTTACTTCAAAGCTCTAGTTCATCCATTGGGTCAATTAGGGCAGCCTCTTCTAGTAAAGGAAGTTAGCTGAAAACTGATCCCTCCGAAGGTTGGGAGTTTCTGTTGGGAAGCAATCCTGGAAAGAGTCGAACACTTGTGATCTTCTTCAGAGAAAGAGGCCTACGAGTTGTTTATCTCCCCACTGGTGTGTTCTATGCAAGGCTGAAGGTGAGGTTGGTTGCCATTTACTGATTTCCTGCTCTGTTACTAATCACACTTGGGAGTGGTGTTCATTTTTGTTTGGATGCAGATGGTCTCCTCCACCAGAAGTACAGAGACTTTTTGCCCCATCCTTATATAGCTGGTCAAAAAAAAGAAGAGTTATGTGAAGATGTCTCAGGGCTGCTGTTTGCTGGACTATTTGGGAAGCAAGAAACAGGAGAATTTTCTCATATAGGGAAAGAAGACTGCCAGAAATTCTGAAGCTGATTCAGATCAGAGCGGTACATTGGCTGAAGTCTTTGGCTCTTTTTATAGACTTTTCAACGGATGATTTATTCGGAAATTGGAAGGAAATTGCAACTTCAGCTCCGGTTAAAGACACATCCCTACCCTCTTGGACTCCTAGTGGTTTTATCAAACTTAATTTTGATGGAAGTAGCATGGGTAATCCGGGTCCATTAGGTATTGGGAGTGCCTTAAGAAATGAGGAGTGATAATTGCTCTCTTTTTGGGGCCAATTGGAATGGGTGCTTCTCTTAGAGCTGAGATTTCAGCTGTTATCAAAGGAATTCGAAAGGCAATTGAACTGAATATCACCAAATTGGTCATAGAAGGCGATTCTAAAGTGGTAGTGGATTGGCTGAGAAATGATACTGCTAATTTTTGGAACTACAGCCATGAGAAGAGGAAATTTAATTGGTTAACCAAGAATATTGAGGTGAAGATGAGTTGGGTTAAAAGAAGTGATAACTCCTTTGTTGATGGGTTAGCTAAACAAGGGGCATCTAGGGACTCTTTGTTCTGGGCTATCTTGTAATTGTTCTCGTCTTGTTGTTTTGGTTAGGTGAGATAAGAAAGTTTATCTCCCTCTTCTTGTACTTGTGTTTTTTCTCTCTAATTTTAATGAAATCTGCGAGTTATTGATCAAAAAAAAATTCCTTCTGGGTTGGAATTCTGTAAAAGCCTTCTAATGTTTATACTGAAATTAGTTTTGAGAGCTTTTCTTTTTCCTTTTTTCTTTGATCATTTTATAGGAGGGTTTTCGTTAAATTCCTGAAGGTAAAACTTCTGATTGTTGCATCTATTTTTATTTTGGCCTTCATTCTAGTAACTTTCCTCCCTGCTTCATGTACCACAGTGTCTTTACCCAAACGAAACTACATGGACATCATCATGAATCATCAGATCCGAGTGAACCTTGGGAATCCACATTTGAGTACTTTTTTGCAGTTTACACCAGCTTAGATTGGTAAAATATTAGTATGGAACTTCTACTTGGAATCCAATAGGCAAAACACTGATAAATAAAATAATTATTAAGCTAGCATGAAGAAGCAAAAAATGTTATTCGTGGTGCTTAAACAATTCACTAGGTGTGATATAAGCGGGAAAAAACAGATCTTTAGACACTTCCCCACCTATGAATTGATAAAAAGAAGAAAAGGAGAGAGGGAAACTAATAGAATTGCCTGAATTTAGGTGATCAGCCCACCAAAATGGCATTACAGCATGGCATATAGAAAATTCAATCACTGACAACATCATAAAATTAAAATTAAAAAGAAATACCATCGAAGCAGGTGTGGCAACTCTAATTCAACCAGAACTTCACGTACAACTTTGCAGAAGGGAGATCCCTGAAGGATAATATTGCAATTTTATGTCATATTGGAAGCTCCAACAATGTCATAGCAAGATTAAAAAAATCAAGTATGTTTGGTTCTTTAGTGTTCAACCTCATAGGCCCATAATTCAAGTGGTTTAGGGGGCAGTTTTGAAGGAGAATATGATGTTCCCTGCAAAAAGACAAAGGAAACAAGTTTTAATGGATGATGATGGTTTTCCACCCAAAAGTTCTGTGTATGAAATTGGAGACTATTTCTTAAAAAATTATTCTTATAATAGTTTACACCAATCAAGAATGGCCATCATACCTTCAATGTTTGCAACTTTTACAGAAAACCTACATTATGATTTTTATCAGTAATGGTCAATAAATTTATTAGATATTAGATGGAAAAGGTGTTTCAAGGTGTTAGAAATGGAAGGAGGATACAAAAGAGCAAATACAAACAAATGCTGACAACCGACACCACTTCTAACTAGAGAATCTTCTCTTTTTCATTTGCAAATCCAGGGATCCAAATGAATGAGCAATTTAGTTTGGCTACTAGAGTTTGGCTTCAACCAATAAAAATTTAAGTAACCATTGTCCTTCCCCTGTAATAATGCACCAGTCAATCACAACTATACAGTCACCTTCCACCAAGTCTCCCCATCCCCTTGATGAAGCTAATTTCAGGCCTTTCAGTCAACTCAACCCTTAAAGAATTACCAGTTTTGATTGGACCATAGAAGTGTAAGAATGATCTTCCAGTAAGGTATCCAAATATACCACCTATTCCTGATAGACCTGGATTACCTAAACAGAAGCCATCAAAATTCAATTTTTAGTCTACCCTCTTCTGGGGTCATTCAATCTTGTTTCACTGTCATTTTAGAGCATAATTTGCAATTAAGAGTTATTTTCTCAAGATAGCATTCATGGTATTCCTTTTTCTTTGAATTTTTTTTTTTGATGAATAATAGATTCCTTTCCTTTGAATTCCTCTCTAGTTAAACCTCAAAGAGCCACCCTATCCATAAAAAAATATATTATAGGTTCTGGTTGTTTTCAGAGATTCTTATGCTCCTCCCATTCAAAATTCCCCAAAATGAACCAGAAGAAGAAAATGATTGCAAGCTTTTGTTGCATAACCTATCTTATTGTTTTCTTTGGGAAATGATGTCTTGGCAAGTCTATTTCCTTATTATTTCTCAAGATACACGATAGAAGATTGAGTAAGAGGGAAACCATCTTACCTTTCCCATACGACCAATCATGGCAAAGCTCTGCAACATAATGTTGTATATAAGAACAGTAAGAAAGCAAAAATTCCTATAAACTGGTAACTATTAAAGTAGAAATAAAAAGATTAAGCTATAAGCACTCAGATTCAGCCAGAGAATCAAAAGCTTACGGTTAGTAGCCCAAGTGACAGCATCAAAGGGATTGTCCCATCACCTAATACGGACACAGTCAACAGATAAAATATTTTTTTATCAGCAAGGTCAACAGATTAAATATGTAAGGCATTAATAAATCATGAGAACAGTAGCTTATAACCATATAAGAAAATGAAGTAATTTAGAGTTACTTTTGTAAACAATATATTTGTAATGAGAAATTGGGACTATGGAATATGACAGAGCAGTTATGCATGTTAATATAGGGGTTTTATTGAAATTTCCCAATTACAGCAGCTTAAGTAATAAAATTAGGGAATAGAGGGCAATAGTTTCTATTCCCATTCTCTTTGTATTTTGTTTCTCCCTCAACATTCGCTCTCTTTTCACCTATACAAAATATGCTAAAGATTAAAAACTGCAACTATATTAAATTAACTAAAAAAGTACTTTTATAAAATCAACATCCACTAAGGAAAGAGAGTCAAAAAGAAAACCCTATAAATAATTTGTTGGAAGACAAAGGGTGTTCATGTAATCTAATTAGATTTTATGGATTATAGTGTGTAATGTGGGGTTTTTTTTATCAATATAATTGTGGGGTTATAAGGGGCTTATATGTAATTTTGAGTATTGAGTTCCAAGTTTTTCTTTAAGCCATTGATCTGAGAGAGTGTGAGAAAGAAATGACTGTAGGCTTGACTGTTGCACCTTCTCCATTTTCTAAATAGTGGATTTATCTCCACCTTTCCCCCCGGGAACATGCTTTCAAGCCAAGTCATGTAAATCTCTTCTGTAGTGTCTCTTGTCATTTCTGGTTTTATTTTCTTGTGTTTGTTAGTGTTTTTAGTGCTCTATGATTGTTGGATCAACTTCTGCCTGAGCACTCTAAGGAGGAAAATTTGAATATTCTTTATTTTTCCTTTCACCAACTGATGAAACTAATATCTAGGTAATAATGAATTAGTTTCCCTAAATAGGTAATAACAATGTATATAATGAAATAAGTTTTTTTCACCAAGCAATGAAACTGATATAGAACTATAGAAGGATTAATAATGAATCTGTTATTGATAAAAAAAAGGATTAATAATGGAATAGCTTGCTCTAAATAGGTAATAACAATGTATATAATGAATAAATCCTTGAAATTTATAAAAGGATAACAAAACTGACCATATTTCCCAACCAAATATTTAATTATATCATCTGATTCATACATCGATACACCAGTGTTTGGATCCACCTGCAACCAAAGAAAAGTTAGGTTCATTCTTATTTGGATTATTCTCTAGGTAACAATAAGTTAAATACAACTGAAGAATAAATAGTGTGACACTGTTAGATTTATATTATCAATAAACTAAGAAAGAGCAAGTAAAAAAGGATCAATTTAATGGGTGGACATATCGGTCAATCCTACAAACTATTAGAAACATTACTGCTGGTGAAACATCAAGAGCTATGTGCTACATTGCTCATAGTGGACAAAAGATACCTGATGTTAGGGTTGCAAGTTGCAATTTGGGCTGGGACAACCTGAACTCAACCCAAAAAAGGGTTCGTTTGAAGATTGAATTGGGGTGATGGTTGAAAAAATGCTAACCTGATATAAAGTTGGGCTGGGTTAGGTTGATACCTTGGGCAGCCAACCCAACCCAAACCCATTGTATTACACTCGTAATTATATATCCATGTACATTATATATGATACAAGTATGTTTATGAGAGAGGGAGGAGAGGGGACATGATAAAGGATGGTTTATTGTAAAATATTATTATATCATGTTATTTTGTACATGTGCATGTATAAATATGGGGATATGATAGTGTGCACCTATGCATGTACTCGCAAATTTGGTAGGTAAGCTTCCAACCCAAACAACTCATCTCATGATCAGGTTGTATTAAGATTGAGAACCTCAGGTTGAAGATAAAGTTGGATTATGGTTAGACTTATTGAGGTTTTAACACGTTGGGTTGGGTCAGGGTTGACCTCAAGGGATGGCCAAAATGAATGTTGCACTGAAGTAGTGAAAGAGATGAAGACTACATCATCCTTGACAAAGTGAAAGATGGAACAGGATTTGTTTAGCTGACTCCAAATAGTTGGGAAGGCCTAGGCCAAGTTCAAATGAGTTGAATATTTCTTATTGTTCATTGCCTGTCTATTGGTTTTCAATTAGGTTGTCTCTTAGTAAAATGTTTCCAATTAGGTTGCTTCCACTATATTACAAATAGAAGCTAACCCACCCAAACTCTTAACCTGCACAAATAGTGGAAAATGAAATGTACAATGTATTCAGGGTCTTGTTTCTTATATATATATATATATATGTTGAAAAAAGTAACTTTCATTAAAAAGGAAAAGGGAAGAATGTACATGAGGGGAAACAACATCCAAATATGTCAAGATTATCTTGGAGACCTGAAGCCCCACAAGTGGTGGGTGGGTGAAGCTTTACTTTGATGAAAGTAGCTTTGGAAATCCAGGGCCTTCTGGAATTGGAGTGTTTAGAGATGAGAATGGGAATATATGTGGCTTGTATTCAGGACCTATTGATCAAGGTGACTCAGTGATACCTGAACTTTTGGGTGCTATTGTTGGGGTGCAAAAGGCTAAGGATATGGGAATTACTAGGCTGATTCTTGAAGGGGACTCAAAAATAATCCTTGGCTGGTTGAAAAAAGAAGAAGGGGTTTTATGGCAATTCAGAAATGATTTCAGATGAACAATAAATATGCAAATCCATGTAAGTTGCGTTAGGAGGTCTGCAAAAGGGTTGGCGGATGGATTGGCTAAGCAAGGAACTCATAGGCAGCATTTGTTTTGGGCTCAAATGTTAACTGTGTGGGGGAATCTTTGCTGTAAAGGGTCTTTGACCAAACAATTTCTTGTTGTACCTTTTTGTTCTTTAATCTTAATAAAATTTTCTTGAGTTGCTAATCAAAAAAAAGATTATCTGGAGCATGCTCCCTGTGGCTGTTATTTTGTCAATACAGATGGGAAGATATAGCAGATTTTTTCAAGGCAGATCCTCTCAAAATGATGAAATCATACACAATATGTCAGAAAAAATCTTTCCATGGGGAAAAGCTTAAAATCATTCAACTGATGCTCTCTTTTTTTAATTACATTAAAAACTGATATTTGTGCATTCTCTCTTCATGTACAGCCAGTCTCTATATTGGAGTTACCACTTCCACACAATAATACAATATACTTTATTTTTTCTAAAAAAAAATAATTTTCAAATATGTCTACATCATCTTAAAAATGTTTTCTCAATCATTATTTCTCATTAACTGACCATGTAAGGGAATTGCTGTTTTCCACCAATCTGAGCAACTCTGCGACGAAAATTTGGACCATTTCTTGGACAAGGATAAAACAGAACATCAAGATCCAAGACAGCTACAATTTCCCTAACCTGTGCAACACATGTTACCAACAAGTAACCACATTTTAAAATCAGTCCTTCCCATTCTAGCTAAGTCAAATATGCATATCTAAACTACTATATGCAAAAATAAAAAAGTGTATATGGTGGACATGAGTGACCCAATCACTAGCATTGCTTTCCACACCAAATATATACGCTTCCTTCTTTATTTATCAACAATTCAAATAGAGGATCAGATTTTGGATGGGGAAGTTTTAGATTGATAAGATAATCTTGCCTTAAACACGAACAAAGCCTGACCTGGACGTAAGTAAGGTTTTGGTTTTTGAATGTGCTGTGGCCCCTTCTAAAAATGAATTTCTTTTTAGGATATCCGGTAGGAAATTCATCATTGTGGATGAAATACAAGAAAAATTTATGTTTGTTCAGGAAAAAAAATCTCATATTTTTTCCTATTTTTCTCTCTTCTTTCCTCTTTTTCTCTCATATATATCTTGCCTTATTTCTCCTTTTTACATCTTGGCAATAGCAGAAACCAGAATCAAATGTCCAATTTCTGAAATTTTGACAAACTTTAAAATCTTGAGTATAAGATAACAGTCAGATTCTTTTCAAAAATAGGGCAGTTGAAGTTGAAGTTTGCAGGACTAAATCGTGGGTACAAAGCATCCAAGAGGTATCATACAGTTTGAGCAAAAAGGGCCCTAGCTGATGAATTGAGTGCAGGTTGCTATTTCTGTTAAGGTCTTGAAACATCTAGTCAGAAAGGAATTCAGTAGAAGAGGAAAGACCAAAAAAGCATGTGATTGTTGTAAACAAAAAAATAATAGATATTAACACTTTCGTTGATTTTACCTTCCGACAGAATGGACAGCTGAAATTTCCACGTGGTCCATGAGGATCAACATATAAGAAAGCAATATATGTGCTAAGTTAGTCATTTGCCATTGCAAATAATTGATATATAAAGTTCACAAGACAAACCATAAACCAAAAAAGAATAACAATGTTTTGAGCCCAATCATGAAAATAAGCCTTAGAAACACCATGGAACCTTAAATAAGGTCCATAAGTCATAGAAAATAAATAAATAAACATAGTACCTTTCAAATTCATAGATCTCAATAGGCTTCTCTGGACGAGGGCCTAATTTTGAGGTCTCTTTCACCTTGAAACCTGTTGTAGCATTTGAAACCAACAGGAAAGGCAAGAGAATCATCATAACTGTAAAAATCAATAGAGTACACATTACATCATCATAATAACATTCCCAGTTTTCAATTACAGGAGTTTCCTTTGATGATCTTGATTTTTTTTTCTTTAAGGTATTTTGTCTTACTTTCTTTTTCTTTTTTACATCTTCTTCTGTTTTTTTTTTTTTTCTTTTTTTTTCTGAGGGAGGTAGTAATAGATAATACGTGTTTACCACTCATGGTTGAAGAATGATTTGGGCCAGATCCTGTATGATCAATCAAGCACAATAATATATAACAGAAACATAAGACAGAGAAGCTGATATCGATAGAGTTGAGGTTCTTCTTTGACTCCAAGAAAACTGTTACAAATATCATCAAACTATAAATACTTGTCAAAGAACATAAATTGCATGGAGGTTAGCACACAACTGGCCATTCAACAAATGAAAGATGACCGGGGCAAACCTTTTCAAAGGAGCTGCACCTGGACCTAGGCAAGGTGCATGCCTTGAAATGTGTCTCATCTGTGTGCCTAGGGGCCTTATCTGTTTTTTTTTTTTTTTGGAAGAATAAGGTAAGGCACTTCATTCAAAAGAAAATCAAATACAAAGGAAACCGTGTACACTGGCCTACCTTTACAATTTTTCCATAAAGTGCTCTCAGACTCAAACCTGTATTCTCACACTTGTCACCCCAAGATTTTCACCATTAAACCAAGCAATGGCCTCTCCCCTTATCATTCTGGAAAAAAAATAATGACAAGCACCAGTACCTTTTGAAACACTGGAATCAAAAAGAAAAAATGGTAGTCACTCCTAGGGAAGGACAAATGTTGTGGCAGTCATCATCATTATCATCTAAGGTTTGTTCCAATTATAGGGGTTGGCTACATAAATTCTGTTTCACCATTCCATTCTGTTCAGTGACATATCCATTGTTAAATTATGGGCACTTAAATCATTTCTTATTACTTCCATCCAGTCCTTTTCAGTCTGCCCCTAGCTCTTCTAGCCCCTTCAACTTGTAACAGATCTCTTTTTCTTGCCAGTAACCCAAAATCCCTCTCTACCAATCTGTCTCCTTATTCTACAAACTCTATATGGTTAAAGAGGTGTTGCCCACACTATTTAACTCCTCCCTATAAAACAGTTCACAACCTAAATCAATGTGCATTTGACAATACACATCTCCCTTTTATCATTATTGGTGAAGGGTATTGCTTCAATAGGTGTGAGTGTGTCACAACATGCATACGTTGTTCTGGAGAGTAATTGAGATGAATGGCATTTTAAGGAGGGTTTCTTATATTTTCCTTTTCACTTTTGGTTCCTTGAGAACTCTTAGAATTACTTGGATAAGCACCACGGTATGAGGATTTCTTTTTGTTTCCTTCTATGAAACCCATGGCTCAATGGTGATTGAACATTGAAGTAATTAAACATTTTTTTTAATAGATAAGTAATTAAACATCAATCATTGAGCTTTAACAGAAGAAGGTTAATTTTGTCATTGCATCAAGAAGTGTTGTGTTTTAGTTGCCGATTTGTCATTATGATGGTTTGTAGCATAAGTTCAAGAATGTAAGAACCCAGATTCTGTAGATTCATTAAGAATGAAAAAGAGAAACTTGGAGAAGGACAAGGAGATAAAAGTGGATAAGCTACTTTCAGAAATACTAAATAAGGACCACATTGGGACCTTGAGCGCAGGAGAAATATTAAGTAGTTGTGATACTTGTATTTTCTAATAATTAGTAGAAGTTACTCCTAAAAATAATTTCCTGTCGTATCAATATTCAATATCATCAGCCTCATCTCATCTAGAGTTCTAGACTCACACATAGATATTTATTTTTTGATTGCCCAACATTTGGTCCTGAAGGTATTGATAACTTTATAGCCATTCTCTTTCTGCCCAATTCATTCTGTGGGAGGACTTCGTCAATTTCAACCTCTCCCATTTTATGGTATTGAACCATGAAACTGAAAATAATCACTTTGATGAATTTTTTATTAATATTTACTATTTCCTTCCTTCCATACTTGTTATTAAAATTTCTGTATATAAAATTTCTGTTATTGATCAAAAAAAATACTTGTTATTAAAATTGCAACACTTTAGATGTCTTAGTTGTTTACTTAAAACTTTTAGATTCTAAGATGCCCTTCTATATTTCTATTTCTAATGTTTCTTGATGTAGATTTTTTATAATTGAAATTTGTTCATTTATGGTCAAGCGTTTTAACAATGGTGATGTAAGAGGGTAGAAATGTCAACCATAGACTAAAGCAGAGTAATGTGAAATGTGAACTAGGGCATGTATGCCAATTGTGAGTCAAAGAAAATTGTGAAATGAAGTAAACGCACAAGCTGCAAAAAGGTCCAAGGGTATGAGTTTTAAAATGGAAAGGAACATGAATTAGGAATAACATGACAATGAGGCAATAAGGGATAATCAACGAGCACATGTGGGAATATTGAATATCAAATAACGAAATAACAGCATGTCAACATCAGCCTCAGCCACTTGACTGCATGGTCTAACAAGTTGTTCTGAGCTAGCATAGCTGCCTAACAGCTTACCTGAAAAGGAAAAAAAATATTCTGCATCAAGAAAAAGGACAAATAAGGAAAGTTTCTTCTGACAAAATCCGATATCAACTATATGAAGGGAAACTGAGCCTCAGTTTGGACATTATATTCCTTCACTTGCACTCAGAACTTCCTCAGCTCTCTAACTTCCTTTAGCTCTCCAGACTTTCAAAGCTCACAAACCTTACCTGCTACTCCGGTAGACTACAGGTGGTATTTCCATTTGAAACTCCTTTCTTCTCTATAAACTTTTTTTTCCATCAATTGCCTGATAATTTAGAGCTAGTAGTTCACATCACAAGAAAAAGAAGGCAAATTGATTTTCAGAATTATTGTTTCACAATTTAATCTTTGCTCAGCCACTGTCCCCATAACATGACTCATAAGTTGTTCACCTATGGTTGTTCCAATGCTAAATGTCTTCTTTTTTTTCTTATATAGTTACCAATATTCTTTTCTTCTATTGACTTGGCATTTACGTTGTAGATATTTACTTAGCAACTTATGTTAGAGAGAATAAATCAGTCTTTCCCATGCATTTCGAGTTCATTTTTGGGTGCTATATTACCTGCAATTTCTAGTGCATACTGGCCCGGGGGAATCTCATCAGAAGATACAAAAGATGCAGAATACCTGCCACGGAACAATACAAATATTAAAAAAAAAAAAAAATCAGGAACCGTGCTTCTCCATTGGTTATGTTGAAGCATGAACGTTTAGTGAGAGAGATACAGAATAAAACTGTCTGCTTGTGCAACAATTTTACGTGCATTACTTCAGATAAATTCATTCCCACAAAAAACAATGAACAGACAGGAAAAGAAATGATTAAGAAGGAACGTTTTAGATAATTTATTAAAGCAAATAACTAAAGATATTGAAATTGAAATCCTACAGAACTGCATATTCAATTTCAACCCATTTTTTCTCCCTATTGAAAACCTCATGAGGCTAACGAACTGATCAAATAAAAAGAACAAATAGATACCATAAGAAACCAGATAAATCAGAGAGGGCTGCAATTGATACCCCGAAACAAAAACTCCAGTTCCTAGACGAAATATCAAAGCGAGAGAAGCCCCGAGTATGTCGAAAATCTTGTCAGGGCGAACTGCGAACCGCTTTGGCTGGGGAGGCTTGAAATTGGGAGGAGGAGATATAGTTGGAGATATGTTGTTAAGTCTTTCTTCTGTGCTGACAGAAGCAGAAGAAGAAGGGAGAGAGGTTTCTGAAAGCTCGGCCGCAACTCTGAGCGAAACCTTATTGTTAGGTTTTCTAGAGGACGAAGGTAATCGGAGAACTGGTGTCGGTCGGAAGTTAAGAACTCCGGCCATTATTTCACGGGAATTTCTAGTCAGGTGGCCGGAACTCGGAAGGTTATAAGCGGCCGAAGGCCAGAAGTACAAATGAACTGGTGACTAGTGGGGAAGTACGTATTGTCTTCCATGGCCGCAAATCTCTTCCTCTGGATTGGCCCAGTAATCACTTCAATTCTCCTGTGGGGCCCACAATGCCACAATCTGACAATGTCCATTGACAGATGTTAAGCCAATGAAGCCAATGACTTTTCTTTATTTATTTAAAAATTAAAATATTAAGAGAATAGACTATAAGACCCCGTGAAATTTTGAAAAAAATAAAAAAAAAAAAAAGAAAAAAGACCACGTGAAATTAATACAGTTACTCAGCTCCACCGTTGATTTGTTTATTGCACGTGATCGTTTTGTCCGTGGAGTGGAAAGGAAAAATATGAAATAATTTCAAATATTCTTTCTTTCCATGTTTGATTTGTGGAATGTGATGAAATGGGATGAAAAAAACTTATGGCAATTTTTGGGATAGTAGATTTTGATGATTTTGGTCCGAAACAAGTGGGAAAGGAAGGGAAAGTTGTTTGACGACAAAAAGGGTGATTTATTAAAGCTGCATTTGGATGTGATGTAAATCAAAAACTAATGTAAAATTTATATCAGTTTGTTTTTGTATACGTTTGGTAAAAGAGTGAAATTATTATTGACGTAAAACTATACTTCAGTTCAGTTTTGTGTGCATTTGAGTGGAGTGTAGTTTTACATTGATAATAGATATAAAACATCATCACTATTAAAGTTTTACATCGATAATCGACGTAAAAACTACATCGATTTTATCAATATAAAACTTTACATTTTTTATATCGATTTTCAAAATGCAACAATCATTATATATACGGTTCAGTGCAAAATGTCATTAATGTATTTTTACACTTATGACACTTTACACCTCTTCCAAACGCAGCCTAAAGGGTTAATTACTTGGTCTGTATTTAGTATAGCTTCTTTTTATTAGAAAAGCATTTGTCTTGAAAACCAAGAAAAAGTGGTTGATAAACATTTTTTGGTATTTATTGACAGCTAAACACCACTAGGCGCCACATAAGCAAAACATTAAATAAACACTTCTGTCTTAGAGGAAAAAGTTAAAATGAAGCTTTCCCAACACTTGTCTTGCACGTAAATCAAGACTTTAATTTATAAGACTGCAAGGCGTATGAAATAGCATGATGGGATAAATGCCCACATAACAATGACATGGCACCATTTATCAAATAAACAAAAACCATACCAAACAACGCCTTATATATACTTTGTATATTTGAGAAACTAATTATATATACTCTTACTTTCAAAACCAATTTAAGCATGCCTTGTTGATCAATTTAATGGTTAAATGCAAAGGATTTGATACCACTCACTCATTTAATGGAGAGAGCATTGAGATAGTAAAGTCTATTCACTATCTCTTTCACTAAACTCATAGGTGGCCAAATTAGAGTTAACTTTAACCAACTTAGCCATCAGTGTCTAAATGTGCACCATAAGCATTAGTAATCCTAATATGAAGGATGAAATGGTCACTTGACCCTTACATCTTGTAATATCGGATTCACAACTTCTCTCAATTTTTGAAAAAAAAAAAAATGAATGGAATATTTTCAAGCCAAAAAATTTTATTCTATTTTTGTGACATTTCAAAAATGCATACATAAGGATGATTAAAATAAAGTTGTGTTTGGTTGCATGAGAAGTGAAGAATAATGAATGGTTTTCTTGAAAAACAACATTTGATAGGAAAACAAATTATGTCCTAATTCTTACTTATTTTATTTTTCTCCTCTTTAACCATTATTAATGAGTGCCCTAGCTAATTTACTATGACGGTTTGGAAATCTTCTAATTTATTAAATTTAATTTCTATAATACATAGCTAGATATTCAATTTACATTCTAACATCTTGTGTTATCCTTTTTCTTTGATTTTTTTTGCAGGTACAAGTACCGAAATATTTACATTTACAGTAAACTCTACGGGTGAGTGGTGTTATCATGATAGCAATATGGAATATGTTAGTGGTTCTATTTAGCATATGGCATATCAAATGGTGATATAATGAGTATAAATTATAAGATACTGGATGGGAGCTACATGAACATATATGGCGATACTTACTCATGAAAATGACATTGATATCATGTTCAACATTCAAGGAGATTTGCAAGAAATTGTTTTCTTTATGACATGTGGATTTGTAGAATGCATCAACTTTCATATATAGACAATGTACAACATATGGAAAATGCTAGTGATGATGATGGGCAAGAGAATGAAGATGATTATTATTATTATGATGTCAGTTCGGAAGAGAAAGGGAATGGAGTACATGAATTTGTTGAATTATATTCAATGAGGAAGAGTGTGATGAGAGGATGCAACCATGCCATGATGATAATGGATTATCTAATTATGAACCAACAAGTGATTATTAAAGCCCCCACAAAGATGCCCAAACAGATTATTTATTCACTCCAACACTGATTTTAATTTTGCAAATCACTCATTTGAAGTTGGCATGAATTTAATTTTGCAGATAACAAGGAGTTTAGGGAATGCTATTAGTCATATTGTGTAGTGGAGGGTGTACAACTTATTAGAATGAAAAATAACAAACTCTACTTCACTGTTAAATGTGTGTTGATGAGGGTTGCTCATGAAGGATACATGCATCCCAATTCCCAAGCACACGATGAGAATAGCTAGCTTCTAAGTGAAAACACTAAAAAGCAAGCATACATGCATATGGGTTATGAAAAACAAGGAAGCTACTAATATGGCTTTCCTTATAAATTGAGGAATGGTTTAGGATTGATCCTAATTTGTCTATTAGGGCCTTTAAAATGGAAGTGATGAAAATATTTAGCATAGATGTCCATCCCATGAGGGTATATAGGGCAAAGACAAAGTCCTTGAAAGGATCAGGGGGCGCCATGTTGAGTCTTATGCTAAGTTCCCTAGTTATTGTAGAGTTCTGATAGAAGCTAATCTAGGCTTAATTTGTAGAATAGAAACTCAAACTCCATAAGGATTTGAAGTCTCCACATTCAAGCAAGTTCTCTAGTTATGGTGCATATAATCCCTATAGATAAACTATGGCCTGGGGGTAACATGCACACAATAACACCACCCAAAATAAAAAAAAAAAATGTCTGGTAAACTAACTACATAAAATAGGCAGAGGGAGAAGGATAAGATTGGTCCATCATCTACTAGAAGTGAGGTTATGCGATTTTGGTGTAAAAGCCCCCTTCCAACAACTAATAAATCAAGTCTTAATATAGAATAGTCAACTTTTCAACAGGTAATGCTTTAACTTGTTGTTAGATGCCAAAAATAGTTCCATTATAAATAGGTAGACCTAGGTCATCTATAGTAGGAGCAAGTAGTTCATCCTCAACTACTAGGTTATCATCTACCCCATGTCTATCAACTATAGTTACTCCCAATGTGAATTGTCCACAAGTTATCCAAGTGCAATGGTTTAGGGGATATATGTAGAATAAGGAACAAAACAGCCAAAGTGCATATTTACATCCAACTCAACCAAGTTAACATACCATCTACAATTTTATAGTTTTCTAATCTCAATGCTTATTACTACAATGTATAACTCATTCTCTCTCTTGAATTAGTAAAAGACCTAATTAAAGTTTCCCTTTCGGTAGGTGTACAAGCCATGCAACAATTTCAAAGTCAAGTAGAAAGGGATGAAGGAAAATCAATAGAGGAAAAGATAGATTATATGGCAGGTGTACAGGATATTTTTGGGGGGTATTATTGGGTTTTATCCTCAGTGGACAAAGACCACTGGAGTAGAATTCTATACATGTTGATAAAGCTTTTTTTTTTCTTTGAATAGTGACTTTTTTGAGTACACATTTAGGAATGTTGATAATTAAAGATGCTTAATTCAACAATATACCTAGCCTTTTAAGTTATGGTTTGTTTAGACACTTTTTTTATTTTCTTTATTTCATAATGTTACAATATAGATAAGGGAAATTTTCTTAAAGTACCTTAGGAAATTGACTAATTCTACCCTTATCGTTTAGATAATGTCTTAAAATACCCCCAAATTTTCTAACAATTGACATCGTCTTTAAATACTAACAGAAAAAACAAAATGTTTAATTTGCCCTCTACTATTCCTCAAATTTTCAAAATAAAACTAAGCCTATAACCAGAGCGAACCCGAATCGAATATAAGTTGATTCGAATTCAAAATTGAATAATAAAAGACTATTTGAATTTGATTCGAGATTCGATGGATTTCTAAATTTATCAACCAGATTCGATTTGAATTTGATTGACTAGATCGCTTGTTACCTTCACACTGAAAAACACACCTGCAAGGGGGAATCGCCGACTAGTAATGTAATAATTTGTTATCTTGTTAAACTGATTCAAGTTCAAACATCAGAATTTCACTCGTTGTCTTCAAGAACCTAGTTGAAAAATCGAATTTATTGAAGTTGGCTTGGTAAAAATCGCTCACAATGTCTGATAATCATCTTCAAACAAGAAGATACTTGGTTTTCTTGTTTTATGAATAACCCATGACCGATAGTTGTGTCAATATGTGGCTTGCCGACTACTGCTACTACTTGAGAGAGAGAGAGAGAGATTTCAACTGGAAAGGACGATGAAGATGGAGACAAAAAGTGAAAAAGTTAAGACTAGACTTGTTCATGGGCCGAGCCAGGCTTTGTTTATGTATCAATAGAATACATTCAAGCTCGAGCCCGGCCCAACACTCGGGCCTAGGTCTTGAGCCCGAACCTGACCCTCATATAAAGGCTGAAGCCCGGGCCCAAGACCAAGCCCAACTAGAAATTTGAAAACAGAAATTTGTTTTCTTTTTTATTCAATAAAAAGTGTTTTATTTATATTAAAAACCTTCAAAACTCAAAAATAATAAACATCTCACTACTACTTGGAAAAAGGAGAAGAAGAGCAAAGAAAAAATATTGTATATATATTTTTATTTAATAAAATATATTTATTATTATTTATTATATAGTATCATGTCAAGCTCGGGCTTGGGATGGACTTTTTTGAGAAAGCCTGA